AAAAAAAAAAAAAAAAAAAAAAAGTACCTAGTTTAGGCCAATTTGTCAATGTTTCCTATATGAGTAGTGGGTTTTGTTTACCTTTTAGGAAATCTGTCTCTAAATCAAGGTCATAAAGCTAATCACCTCTGACGTCTTACGGATTTTTTATTCTTTTTACTTTTTACATTAAAGTATATAATTGATCTGGAATTGATGTTACGTGACGAATGAGTTTGCGGTCCACGCACATTGCTGTTATGTGTGGATCTGTAATGAACTCAGCATGGTTTGCAATCAAAACTATTACGTCTCCACTGCTTTGTCCTGTCTCCTTGGCCATCAGTCAGATACTCACACGTTACTAGGTGGATCTGTTTTTGGAGTCTCTAATCCTTTGGGTCCCCCCCCTTGGGAAATGGTATATATGTATATTTTTAAAATTGAACTATAGTTGATTTACAGTGTTGTGTTGGTTTCAGGTGTACAACAAAGTGATTCAGTCATATATATATGTATATATATATATATATATATATATATATATATATATATATATATATATATATATATATATATATATATATATATATATATATACTTTTTCAGATTCATTTCCGTTATAGGTTATTATAAGATAATGAATATAGCTTCCTGTGCTAAACAGTAGGTCCTTGTTTATCTATTTTATATATAGTCATGTGTGTCTGCTAATCCCAAACTCTTAATTTATTCCCCCCCTTCCCCTTTGGTAACCATACGTTTGTTTTCTGTGTCTGTGAGTCTGTTTCTGTTTTGTAAATAGGTTCATTTGTACCGTTTTTTTAGATTCTGCATATAAGTGATATCATATGGTGTCTGTCTTCCTCTGTCTGACTTGCTTCACTCAGTATGACAATCTCTAGTTGCATCCATGTTGCTGCAAATGGCGTTATTTCATTCTTCTTTATGGCTGAGTAATATTCCATTGTACATGTGTACCATGTCTTATATATGTGCACGTCTTCTGTATCCATTCATCTGTCGATGGACTGTTAGGTTGCTTCCATGTCTTGTGAATAGAGCTGCTGTGAACATGGGGGTGCATGTGTCTTTTCAAATTAGAGTTTTCATCTTTTCTGGATACACGCCCAGGAGTGGAATTGCTGGATCATGTGGTGGCTCTGTTTTTAGTTTCTTAAGGAATCTCCATCATCTTCTCCGTAGTGGCTGCACCAATTTATATTCCCACCAAGGGTATGGAATTCTTACTTGGCAATGACCTTACGATGACACTCGGAAGACTTTTCAAAATTTTCTGACTTCCATTATTTCTCCAAGAATTCATCTCCCAGTCTTATGTTTATACATTTGAAGGTCATGTCTTTTTGGTCTGGCTGCTTTTAACATCTTTCTCTTAGGCTCTGGTTTTTATCATAATGACTTATTTATTATCATTTGAATTTACCCTATTTGGGTTTGTAGCACTTCTTGAAACTGGATTCTTTCCGCCCATTCTTTCTCTGTCTGTGTCTCTCTCCTCTTCCCACTTCCCTATCCTTCTGTGATTCCAGTGACATCTACAGGAGGAATTTCATCACGTCCCATGTATCTGTGACACACTTCTCCCATCTGTCTTCCCATGCTTCAGTCTACTGGCCTATTTTCTAGTTAACCAGTCTTCTCTTTGGCTGTGTCTAATCAGCTGTTAAACCGACATCCTGCACACTTTATTTCAATTATCGTGTTTTTAGTCCACGTAAACGCCAGATGTTTACGAGGGGGTTTTCAGGACTCCCTTGAAACTTTTCAACTTGTCCCATCATTTAAAGTATTTTCCACATTCAGTTACAGTCTGTGTGCCATCCACCATACATCTGCGTTTCATGTGGATCTGATTTTGTGCTTTGATTTTGTTTTCTCTTGATTTTCACTCCTTTGGTCTTGTCTCGCTGCATGCTGGTTGATTTTTGATTGACTGCAAGACATTGTGTATGGAAAAATGGCAGGGATCCTCTGAGGCTCTGAATCATAGTATCATCCAGAGAGCATTTCTTACGTGCTGTTTTTCTTTTTTCAGCTGGAAGTTTTCATAGAGATGGCTTTGCCCACATGCTATTAGAGGTAGAGTTGGAGTGAAATTGGGTTTTGGTGTTTGTGAGGGTTGGTCTTTTTCTGGTTCTCCTTTCAGTGGAGTCCTAAATGAAAGCTTGTGTTTAGAGTGTCCCTCTTGGATACCTCATTATTTATGGGCTCCTCAGGGCTATAGCCTTTCAGTTGCCTTGAGGGGAAATAAAAGAAATGTGTGTGTGTGTGTGTGTGTGTGTGTATGTGTATATATATATATATGTATTTTTTGGTCTAGAATTTTAAGTTGCTTTTGGCAGGAGGTTTACTGGGAAACAAGTAGCTTCACCCATTGATGAAAGTGGAAAAACCCCTCTTTGGTTCTTGGATAGATTTGTATATTTACATTTTTTAGTTTTCACCACCTCCTGCAGTCAGAACTTTCACAGGATGATAGCCCATGATGCAAAGGAGTGTGTCTTCATTATTTGTTCTAAATTTATCTGTTCAGGTTGTGTATGTGAGCATTCTGTGTCTATCTGTTGGCGATCCAT